GCACCAGCAAGTTATTGCTCTGAGCTGAAGCTCAGAGAAGTGCCCCAGCTTTGGTAACTTTGTGAGATATCTGGCCAGATGGATGGCAAAATGAATAATTTTTCTTCTCTGGTGCCTTTTTTTAAAGCACTGATTTGTTACATTGCTGCTGCTCTGAAACTTACTTGGAAAATAGTTGAATGGGTAGATCGTAAAATATTTGCAATACTGTAATTATGTGCATTAAGAGAGCACTTCACCTATGAAAAATTCAAAGTTGCTTAAAACACATTCCCATTAGTTATAGAAGTAGGTTATTCAGATCAGGAAGCTGAGGCTGAAGGACCTCAGTATTAGTGATGGAGCTTGAATATGGAACCAAGTTTTTCTGACTTCCTATCCTGTGCTTTAAACATAAGACCATCCTTCCACCCTGTTGTGGTGTTCGGCTTTTGGATATGGGAGGAGCCAGTAAAAACACCTCAGACAGACTCTTGTTAACGTTATTATGCACAGAGTAGTAAAAGAAAGCAGTGCAAGGTTACACAGATCTATTTCAATACACAGGATAGTTAGCACAGACAATAATGTAACACCTACACCTAGGACAATACACAAGATACTTAATTTTAAGGATAGGGATATACATGTACTTATTTCTATAAATCACACACAATTCCACCACTAAGACCTTATGATTGTCAGACGGGAGGTCATGGCCTCTGTTTCCCCACGTGCAGAGGCATCCACAATGCATCGATCAGGAGGAACAGGCACAGCTTCTAGTTGCAGTGAGTAAGGTAGTGGGACCCCTTCCCCAATCCCTCCTACTGAGTCTTTTCTACAACTACTTCTACAGCAAAGTGAGACTTGGTCATTCTAGTAAAATCTACCAATTGATTACGTATTGTATATGCCCATATTTGGGATACATCCTTCAATTCAAACTATACTATACTTGATTGACAGTTCTATGGCTGTATCTGTGATTTTTGCTTATTAGAAATGTTATGTACCAGTACCAGGATTCTCCCAATGTTCTTGGCATGGTTTCACTATACCAATATTCCGTACACACTGTTGTTTAAGGCACTCCTGATGCTCAAAGCTCCCCCCCCCCCAGTCTGGCCTAGGTTCACTAAGCTTGAGTCAGGCCTGGGTTTGCTTTGTTAGAAGCTGCACTTTGGTTAAGGCAGCCATCACTAGTCCGGCTAAAGCAGGGCTGGACAATGCAGATATTATTATTCTGGTCAAGACGGGGTTGTCCAGGCTCCCCTACACACCCCGATTAGCATGAATTAAAAAGATTTGAAGTTTCCAACAGATGTTTTGCTTCTAAGAGTAATACACACACTCTCCTCAGTAGTGTTGAGTTGCTCATTAGCATTAAAAAACAAAATAAAAACCAATGTACAAGCCCAAGCAGCTAGAGTCTTCAAGGCAGATTTTGATTTTGAATTTTCACCAAAAAATTGATAAAATTCCAAATTTCCACTAGAACTTACCCAATTTACTGAGGTTTTGTAGTTAGTGAAAAACTGCTTTTCACACATCAGATTGCGTTATCTCCATCTGTGCTGATTGTCTATGAATACAGTAAAAGGGTAATGATTGCTAAAGAACAAATTGTTCTCTGCTGTACTTTTGGGTACCAGCTTGGCCTTTTTCTAGAGAGCTTAAAATCGGGTGCTACAGGATGAGTCAGTTTTAGACTTTTCATTTTTAAGCCAGTGCCCGAGAATGAAAGGGGACAAACAGCTGTTTAGAGATTTAATCTTTCAGACTCTTAAAACAAAGGCTCTGGCTGCTTATGTACAGTAAAACTCTAGTGGTCCGGCACACCTGATAGTCCGGCACCAACTGGAACCCGGAAGTGCCCCGGCCAGCCGGACAATTGGAGCTGCCCAGAGGTGGCAGTGGAGAGGGGGCGAGAGGCAGGCAGCTGTTTAAGGCAGGTGGGGGGGGGGGGTGTCGGGGGGGGGCGGGACAGGGGG